GAAATAATGAATTAATTTTTAAATCGCGGAAAGCATTCATTACAGAGTTAATACGATTGCATACAAAATTCTTTGTTTAAAGACAATGTTACGTCTCAGCCTGATCGGCATATGTAAACAAATTCTATGTTATGTAAACAATTAATTCATGTGAAACTAATTTGAGTTCCTACAATCAGTTAATACGTTTGCTGAAAAAAATTCCCACCAGGTACAGAATATGTAAACAAAATTATAATCAGCGTTCGATGCAGTCACTAGAGTTTACTTTTCACCTTCAGTATTTTTATTCAATATTTAAAACCATAACCAGTCACCAATCTATGCATATTAATATATAAAATAGAGGATTCTGAACTAAAATTTTTGACATAATCAATTGTTATAAAATTTCTATCAGTCGCTCTGATTTTGATTAAGTACAGCCCGCGACATTGTGATTCAAATTAAACCACTTTTTTTTCACTGACTGCATATGAATGCGCCGAAATGCTTCTGACACTGATGTCACTTACAGAATCAATCTTGTGATAGACAAGGCTAGTGATAATTGTTTACATCTGATGGGAATTTTCCCATGCAACATTCTGATAGACATGTAAATACCCCTTGTTATTTTTATGTTTGGATAATAAATAACACTAGTGCCAAAAAAGAAAGTATACAACTCCCGTGGACACATCATTCACCGCTCATCTACTATAAGCAACACACTCCACTTGCGGGACTGAACTTATTTGAAGCTTTAGTAAAAGACCGTTTCATCCTATATCTGGTATACTATTTCAATAGTCAAAGATAACATTGCATCAGAGCTACATGATTGTTTGCATAGTGCAAGAGCATTAAACCATTATTTCTGTCATTAGATTATCTACATGTTTCAGTCTTTAAAACACGTTTGCACATATTGCAGTCGTGAGTTTTATTCTCGTGGTGCACTAGGCAGCCACCTTCGTATACATAAAACAGCTGAAGACGTCACCCCAAACGGAGGTAATAACTTACAATTTACGTATATTAGATGAAAACATTACTGACTGGTCAGTTTTATTCAGAAACTTATGAATATGCTGATGAAGAAATCAACACCGACTTGTCTGAAGTGGTCCAGGTGAGTGAATATCATGATCAGAACAAAGAAAGCACAATTGAGGTGATAGATGAAATAGATGTAGAAGATTTAAGCCAAGCAGAGACTGATAACATGGAAGTTGAATACCATCCAATGTCATATGATGTACTTGCATACATGGAAGATTATTGGGGACATAATTTTCAGCAAAAAGTCAATATCAATGAAAAAGACATGATCAAAATATCAGAAATTTACCAGCAATTCCTGGACATTGTGAGTATAACAATTGAATAGACTTATTTTATAGATTTCTTGTTAGCTAATCTGTAGTAGATCATAAATCATCAATTATCAGACAAAGCTGGTGATGCTGTGCTGGCTTTATTAAAGCATTGTGGTGTGCAAGATATTCCCTGTTCAACTCGTCAAGCTCGAAAATTTATTGAAAAAAAGATGTCTCAGACTGTGCACTACAATGAACGAGTAGTCTATAATTACAATGATAGGGCTTACATCTTTCATTACCAGAGGATTTTCCATTGCATAAATCAACTTCTACGAAATAAAAGTTTAGTTGATGCTTGTGTATTTGATTATAGAGAAACTCGACAAGATGGTGAAGTAAGTAAACTTGTACTTGTGATTGTTTGAGGAAAACTTTAATTTGACCTTTTTTATACTTTTAGCGTGTATATGCAGAACAGTTTGAGTCAGACTGGTGGTGTGATACAGAGAAAACATTGTCTTATAATCGGAAACTTCTCTCTGTAATACTGTATTCAGATGCAACAACCTGTGATCGGCTTGGTAAGACAAAAATGCATCCTATCTATATGAGTTTAGGGAATATACCACATGCTCGTAGACAAAACAAAGACGCTAAATGCCTTGTTGGGTATATCCCTATTGTTGAAGATTTGCCATCAGATGAAATATATTCATCACACAATGCGACCGCTGCCCGACTTCGTGCAGCTACAATAGATTGCTTTCATTCATGTATGACTGTCATTCTCGAAGAATTTGAGGACAATTACAGAAATGGTATAACATTAAGACAAACTTCCATCGAGGGTGAATATGAAATGCGGTTATCAGCCATAATTTCTGATTGGCCGGAAGCAGCCTCTTATACACTTGCATACAAGTCAGCAAATTCTCATCATCCTTGTCACACATGCTTAGTAACTCGTGATAAACTAAATGCTATCAGTCTTCATTCCGATGAATGTCGTTTGCGTACCCCCAATGAAATGAAAATGGCATATGAAATGAGTCAGTGCCATAATTTTTCCTTAGTACAAAAATACAATATTTTCTGGGAACACCAGTAAGTAGTCAAAAAGAGCAAACAGATTTACATTATTTTGCTAATTCTGATTTACCTGTCTTATAGTAAAAATATTTATTTGGCTTGTTTGCCAGATAGAATGCATCAGCTGGACTTGGGTCTTTTCAAACGGATGTTAGAACTAACGCTGGTTGTAATCCGCAATGGCTTGGGTGAATCTGGTGTGAACATTATTAATAAACGCTTGCCTGAAATACCCCGGTTCAGAGGTCTAAAGGTATTCAGGAAGGGGCTGAAGGTCGCAAATATTACAGCAAAAGAATACCGTGATCTTATGAAAGTAATGCCATTCATACTTGAAGGTATCGGTGATGGGACTCTTGCTCAGGTATATGTTGAGTTTAACGAGATGTACTTTTTATCGAGACAATCATCTTTCACTGAAGACGATTTGAAAGCATTTCAGGTAAGACAGTTTGTTTTTTTAATAATGTGAAAAAGTCTTTGACAAACTTTTTGACAAACTTGTTGATAGGATGCCAATGTGAAGTGGGCACAGCGGTTTTTGGAATTATTCATCTCACATTCACCATCAAGTCTACAGTTACCAAAACTACACTGTTGGCTGCATCACACTGTGCAGGCGATACGATTGTATGGTGCATTGGATGGTTACTCTTCAGAAACTTATGAAAGTTTTCACCGGGAATGTGTGAAAAATCCCTATCGTAAATCAAACAAACGCCAGATAGAATCTCAAATGCTTTCCACTGTATGTACAACAATATCGTGTCTATTTGCTTAAAATAGTATTTCTAAATCTTTTATTAAATATTTAGGTTAAAGCTAATGTATTCGCTCAAGAATTCATCTACAGAAAAGCTCAGAAGATACACAATTCCGCCATTAGGTGTAAAGACTCCATTGCTGTAATGTTATTTATGGAATTGGATGAAGTATCTGCTGATATGGCCGATGTGACTTCGAGAGAGCTTCATTACGCATTTTTACACATAAAATCACTGTTAGAAACACATTTAATGGAGTTGAACATTTGTGCAGATAAGAACGTCTGCCTTCAGTTTTTTGCGTCAGCGAAACTAAGCGAAGAAAATATTGTTAGAGTAAATCCGAATTTCTATGGTCAACCGTGGTTTAGTGACGTTGAAATATTGATGGATAATGAACAGGCACAAACCTATCGTACAGAAGATGGACACTGTTATGGAAAGGTATTTATTGTCATATAAATAGATATATGAATTCCAATCAACATACTGAAAACCGTTTCTAATAGGCATTGCTGGTTTTGTGGCTAACATACTCTTCCAATGGGAGTAAAGTTGCTGAAGAACTCGTGATGATTCAATGGTATGATTATGCCATTTGTGCAAACAGATATAAGAACAGGGATGAAAGATATAAATTTAATTGTCCTTATATGAAGTTATTGGATCAGTGTGGACTAATACCTCTACAATCAATCACTCGAACAGTTCATGTTGTTCCAAGCTTTATTGATAATACCAAATTCTATATAAATCAGTTCGCATGAAGGATACAATGTCAAGACGCACGCATCATCCAAACAGCTAATGGCAAGCAAGCATCGATGGTGATGGTTATTCGTTGTATATCAGTATGTGGTCAAAATCAGATGGTAGAGCGAGCAAATAAGATTAAGCAAGCGATCTTATGGGAAATTTTGAGTAGTATTATATTTTATAATTGTTAGATCTCTTTGTAAGTAATACATTAATTATGACATCCCGCATAATATTTAATTAGTGTAAGTGAGCACAAGAACAATGTGACAAAGGCGGACCAAACGATAAAAAATAAAGTTGTATTGTTATTAACATCGAGAACGATTGTAAGTCGATGATCGCACACATGATCATGATAATTTCTGAATAATCGATGTTCAACTTCCAATAAAACCTACCATTACGACACATCATGCCACTTACAGAATCAATTTTTGTCGAATTTGTAAGTAGTACTACAATAGATTCAACATTGATGTAAACATTCCCATGCAAACATTCTTGTGGCAATAACAAATATAAGTTGGTGCTTTGGATACCCTAACAAATAATATGAACCATTGCTGAACATACGCCCACGATTTCGCCATGAAAAAGCAAGCAACAAGTAACAAAGGCATAGCCCTTAAATTTAAGAAATGATTGTCTGACACGATTTCTGACGATATACTATCGCCCACAGTCTCCGATACTTCATCGATACCAATTGTGACAGCCGGCGTCAAAAGAAAGAGGGAAGGTTGGCATCAATATTATCATAAATTAGCTTATTTAAAATGACTGGTGAATAACTTCCATCTGCTACAGGTATTGAGGCGGGCATCGTTATTAGAAGGGGATATGATATGATTTATTGACCACGGTCTATGGTGTTCCGAGATTTATTGATATATAAATAAGTTCGCTTGAAGGATACAATATTTCATATCATCTGGGTGGCGTTGACAATGATCCTGAAGAAGTTATTCTTTCGTTGTAAGCAACAGAATGTGATATTATTATGACTTTTTATAATATGATTAATAAATAAAACCAGATGGGAATTTTCTCATGTGATATTATTTTGTAACACACATTATAATGGAACAAGATACGATCTTACACAATGCAATGCACATCCATCGCATTGCTCTTATCCAACATGACTGAATAACTTTCACCATACACTAGCCACCTTCATATACACAGAACAACTGAAGACATCCTGAACAAAATGGATATAACTTTATCGGACTGACTATGAGAAACTGTATGAAAATGGCAGATATACGAATATTTCAACCCATGTTGGAAAAGAGCCGAATAGCAAGACTTTTCCCGTTCATGTGTGCAGAAGCAAATTCATTGAGAAAAACTTAACCGAGAGGATTCAAAAGGTTACTACAATCTTTGAAGATGTCTCCCTGATGTTTTCGAAATATTGCTCAGGTAAAAATTCATAAAACGGGGCAGCAGTGGTTAAAGGCATGTCAGCATTAATACTCATTTACTCGATGATTGATTTACAGATATATTTACACGGGGCGAATGTCCTACGAATTGTGCAAGAATGCAGGTTGGATTAGCCTTCTTATTCTGGATGAACGGTCAAGCAACGAAGGAGAGAAAACCTATCTGAACATAGATGCATTTGGCAAAGAGCCAAGGGGAGGGCTGGAGGGAACTAATATAGAGTTTACTTATGCGGTGTGTAAGATTTGCTTAGATCCGACATACAGCGGCATGGATGTAAGTGAAGATGTCATGGCTAATATAATGAATTCTTTAGAAAATGAGGCGGTAAGTTTTTACTCCTTTCTGTTATGTTAATGATTTGGCTCATATTAATGTTGTACTTCTGTTGTGTAGTTGGAGCA